TCTGACAGTGGACTTGATACATTCTCAAACGTTTCGCCGGCATCGTAGTGGGCATCATCAGTGAGTTTTGTCATTCGCCGCACCAAGCTGCGAACTCGTCAAAGAGACAAGTGAAGCCAATCCCTAGACAAACGTTCTGCCGAAAACGGTTACACTATTACTCCTCTATCTTTCCTGGCATATCTATCTACTCTTTACCCTCTTATCCCATTGCCGCCCTATCACAAACTCTCAATTGTTTACATTCCAGTCATCAAAATGTGTACACTTTTGGGGCAATTCTAGTGTGCCATCCCACTTGCTATCTACCCCAACCCCTCTCTTTCTATCGGCTTATCCGACTCAAACTTCCAATCCGGATCGCTTCATTGTCTTATGTATCTGTTGCTTATCTTTCTGGTTGACCGATTTCACTCGGTTCCAGTCCCTGCGTGCATTTCACTCCAGGCGCTATTTCTTAAGGCCATAGAAGCACACACACTGCCGCCTCACTGAGCAGAGCGCCTAAGCTCTGATTGTCATGCTTGCAGATATCAGGCCTTCCCTTCGCGGGTCCTCTACCCTGATTAAACCCATGTTATCTGAGCAAACTGTGGACGCCTATCTCTGGTCGCATGCGGCATCTTTAGTGGATTTCTAGTGTATTTGTCGAGCGATTGGCTTCACTTGTCTCTTTGATGAGTTCGTAGTCTGGTGCGGCGAATGGCAAAACTCACTGATGATGCCAAATACGATGCCGGCGAAACGTTTGAGAATGTATCAAGTCCAATGTCAGATCCTGGGAATCAGGACAACTACTATGGCAGACGAATTCGGACTAGGTGCGTTCTACTAAGTTCCCTGAAAACAAGACCAAGTTGCGACAACGAGGTCAACCCACTTCTATAAATCGAAAGGAGACTGCGACTATACCAGAGGCCACAACATCTTTGTCTTCATATATTCTTATTCCATTATGCTCTCATTTACTCGTAGGCTCGGATTGAGGAATAAAATCAAGCATTTGTTCTTATCTCTTAACCAAGCATCAATATTTATTACTTTATTTTACCAGATCAAGAGCCTAATATATGGACTCAGTTAACATAGGTCACATAAAGTAATTTAAGGACTGAGTGTGGACATTTTAGAAAAGCTTATGAGTAGAACTCATGATGCCAGTTATTTTATTTAGCACCTCCTCTACTAAGGTTTTATTATTCAGGTTGCTTTTGCTACATTAATAAAATAATTGATTCGAAGCCTAATCATGCTCACCGTGGTGTCTGAGTACCTCTCCGTTAAACAGTCACGGGT